TTCAAGAGTATAAACAAAAATATCCCGGCAGAGCAACCTGACAGCGATGTGTAGGAGCACATCTGGAAGCATTCCCCTTAAGATTCAGACGAGAATCCAGTTGTTCTCGCGGCCGTAGTCGCATTCGCGATGACAGTCGCAGTGGCAACGGCAGTCGCAGTCACAGCCTCAGCCTCAGCCTGCCTCAGCCTCAGCCTCTTCCTCAGCCTGCCTCAGCCTCAGCCTCAGCCTGCTTCAGCCTCAGCATCAGTCTGCCTTCAGCCTCGGCCTGAGCCTCAGCCTGCCTCAGCCTCGCCCTGCATCAGCCTCAGCCTCAGCCTCAGCCTGCCTCAGCATGAGCCTGCCTCAGCCTGCTTCAGCCTCAGCCTCAGCCTGCCTCTGCCTCAGCCTCAGCCTGCCTCAGCATCAGTCTGCCGTCGGCCTCGGCCTCAGCCTCAGCCTGCCTCAGCCTGAGCCTGCCTCAGCCTCAGCCTCAGCCTGCCTCAGCATCAGCCTGCCTCAGCCTCAGCCTCAGCCTGCCTCAGCCTCAGCCTCAGCCTGCCTCTGCCTCAGCCTCAGCCTGCTTCAGCCTCAGCATCAGTCTGCCGTCGGCCTCGGCCTCAGCCTCAGCCTGCCTCAGCCTCAGCCTGCATCAGCCTCAGCCTCAGCCTCAGCCTCAGCCTGCCTCCGCATCAGCCTGCCTCAGCCTCAGCCTCAGCCTGCCTCAGCCTCAGCCTCAGCCTGCCTCAGCCTCAGCCTCAGCCTGCCTCAGCCTCAGCCTCAGCCTGCCTCAGCATCAGCCTGCCTCAGCCTCAGCCTCAGCCTGCCTCAGCCTCAGCCTCAGCCTGCTTCAGCCTCAGCCTCAGTCTGCCTTCAGCCTCGGCATCAGCCTCAGCCTGCTCAGCCTCAGCCTGCCTCCGCCTCAGCCTCAGCCTGCCTCAGCCTCAGCATGCATCAGCCTCAGCCTGCCTCAGCCTCAGCCTCAGCCTGCCTCAGCCTCAGCCTCAGTCTGCCTTCAGTCTCGGCCTCAGCCTCAGCCTGCCTCAGCCTCAGCCTCAGCCTGCATCAGCCTCAGCCTCAGTCTGCCTTCAGCCTCGGCCTCAGCCTCAGCCTGCCTCAGCCTCAGCCTGCCTCAGCCTCAGCCTCAGCCTGCTTCAGCCTCAGCCTCAGTCTGCCTTCAGCCTCGGCCTCAGCCTCAGCCTGCCTCAGCCTCAGCCTGCATCAGCATCAGCCTCAGCCTCAGCCTGCCTCAGCATCAGCCTGCCTCAGCCTCAGCCTCAGCCTGCCTCTGCCTCAGCCTCAGCCTGCTTCAGCCTCAGCCTCAGTCTGCCGTCGGCCTCGGCATCAGCCTCAGCCTGCCTCAGCCTCAGCCTGCATCAGCCTCAGCCTCAGCCTCAGCCTGCCTCAGCATCCGCCTGCCTCAGCCTCAGCCTGCCTCTGCCTCAGCCTCAGCCTGCTTCAGCCTAGCCTCAGTCTGCCTTCAGCCTCGGCCTCAGCCTCAGCCTGCCTCAGCCTGCCTCAGCCAGCCTGCATCATCAGCCTCAGCTCAGCCTCAGCCTCAGCCTCAGCCTGCCTCAGCATCAGCCTGCCTCAGCCTCGGCCTCAGCCTGCCTCAGCCTCAGCCTCAGCCTGCTTCAGCCTCAGCCTCAGTCTGCCTTCAGCCTCGGCCTCAGCCTCAGCCTGCCTCAGCATTCAAAATGTAGCCCGGGAATGGAGTTCTGGGATTTCGAAGAACACGAAGTGGCCTACAGATGGCTCCGGGCATTCAAAATCATGCCCAGGAATGAAGTTCTGGGAACTCGAAGAGGACGAAGTGGCCTACAGTTGGCTCCGGGCATTCGAAGTCGGGCCCGGGAATGGAGTTCTGGGAACTCGAAGAGCACGAAGTGGCCTACAGTTGGCTCCGGGCATTCAAAATCTGGCCCGGCAATGGAGTTCTGGGAACTCGAAAAGCACGAAGTGGCCTACAGTTGGCTCCGGGCATTCAAAATCTGGCCCGGGAATGGAGTTCGGGGACCTCGAAGACCACGAAGTGTGTAATTTTTTCCTTAAAACGACTTCCGCGGATTCGCCCCGGCACCCGTCCGGCATCTGCCCAGACCCCCTTGAGGAGTCAAGATGCTTTCTTTTGAGACCATTGGAGACCTATCAGCCTTCGCTGTTAGGTAACAGTCTGGGGACGACGTCGCGACCATGTTTGGCCATGTCTGAGCATTTGTTTTTACTAGTTTTGCTGTTCTTCGCCGAAAAAGCCTTCCTGCAGGGGGGCATATGCCCCACCTAACCGGAGGCCCCACACAGGCGAACACAAAAAAACAGGGCAGGGGCAGCGGTGAAGCTGTCCGCGCAGCGCGGCGCGGCGCGCGAAGAGAGGCGGCCCAGCTCGAGGAGCCCCCCCGGCGGCTCTCAGAGGGCCGCCCGCCGCGTTCCCTCCCCCGGGCGAGCGCGGGGCGCTGGTGCGCTGGTGCGCTGGTGCCGGCGAGGTCGGCGTCCGCGTCGTTTCCCCCGCCCCTGCGGACCGGGCTCGTCGTCTCGGCTCGGGTGGAGGGCCGGGTCCCGCCACGCTGGGTCCGTGTTCGAGTGTGGGGCGAGGGCTGCAGCGCTCGCGGTCCTGACAGGGAGCACGCCTGGAGCCTCCTCGTTGTGTCTTCTTTCTGGGCACGCTGCAGCACGCCTCTGGAGTTGCTACCGCGTGCGTTTGCATCACGGTGAGGAGTCCTTTGCTCGGGCAGGGGACGGTCCAATGACGATGAGAAGCCATGACGCTCTTGGCTTTCCTTCTCTGCTCCGGGCCCCCTCGCGCATGCATTCGTTTTTCGGGGCCCTGCGGGCGTCAGCCAACGTGGCCAGAGGAAGTCCAGGGAGTGTTGGCAGAACAGGGTTCGCCTCCCCTCCCGTTCCCTTCTCATATCCCAGGAGACCCCCACAGACAGGGGACGGCTTCTGCTTTCGATGTTTTGCCCTCCGCCAGGAGTTCGGCAGCATCGGAGAATTGTGTTCCGCAGCCATTGTGACTCGAACTGGCGTTTCTTTTTCGCTGGAGTGCACAAGTGATGTACGATCTACGAACAAGCACCAGAGAAATCGGATGCAACCGAGGGCATGTGCGGAGAACCAACAGGAAATTGCCGAAACCTCACCTGATATCTGCACGTCGGAGAGGATGTCTCAGGCGAAACCAGTGCGGTCGCACTCGGTGCATGAAGAAACGCTGGGCAAATGGAGCTGAAACCGACGGAAATCCACGGGACACCACTCCGGAAACGGCTCGTTTTCGAAGAGGCCCCAAGCAAAAGTTGCATTGTTGGCCATACCCCGAGATCAGCTCACGCCGCTGAATTGAAGTCAGGTGTAGGGGTGGGCGGGGGGAAACACGCACACTGAGACAATTCATCGGCGGGCGACTCCCCGGAAAAGGGGGGAAATGCTGGGAAGTGGGGGGGGGGGGAAGACGATGACCAAGAAAACATCGGAGAAAAAAAAACATGGGAAATCCTGGGACCTGCGTCTATTCATTTGGTGTGTCCCTGGGCCCCTGTTGGAAATGGAATGGTGGGTGGAGCCCACAGCCCCCGTCTCGGTGTCGTCCGCGGCTCCCTGTCCGCCGGGCCCGCGCGGAGCTCCAGAGTTTTTTGGGGGAGGGGCCTGCCTGATGCGGGACGGTCGGCATGGGTACGGAAGCAAGTGGCCCGGGGGCGACAAAGAGGTGTTTGTTTTTTTTTATTCGCTGTCTTGCCGATCGGCGCGGGCCTTCGCACCCCCCCCTTCCGCTCCCTCACGGAGTGGATCTTGGCTGTTTTTGGGCGCCTGTTTCGAGCAGGTACAGTCTCCCCCACATGACGCACGGTTCCGAACAGTCGCACTAAGCAGAGGTCCGGAGCCAGAGCCCCCCCCCCCTCTTCGCTCAATGTCGAAACGCCGAATAAAAAACGTTCACCAAAGAGGGAGGGGGGTGGTGACTAGCGGAGGGTGGATATTATGGCGGGGGCCATGATGTCTCCCCAGATTTCGTGGCGCCTCTACTTCATTGCGTCCCTGGCCCCCCGCGTGGGCCGCGCACATGCCGCCGGCCATGATTTGCGCCCCCCCCTTTGGACGCCCTCCTCGTGGCCGCCCCCGAGAAACAAGTGGCACGCCTTCCCTGGCTCTTGCACCAAGGAGCTGCGAGGGACAGGAGGCTTTCGCCTCCTTCCTCCAGGAGTTTCCTTCCGTGGCCAGGGGGAAGGGGGACGAGCGACGAACGAACGAGCGACGACCACGAAAATCAAGCGGTCCGAGCTCTGGAACACCGCTATGCAAGAGATGATGGGTACAGAGACCGACAGCAGTTTTTGTTCATTCTGGACAGGACTCGCTGTTGGTGTCGCCGCGGCCTGTGTCCATCTGAGACAGAAAGCCGCCTGCCCAACAACATGTGTTGTTGGGCACTGTAATAGTTATTGTCCGTACCTATTCCAGGCGTGCGAATTGATGGCAACCACCACAGCCGCACGATTACAGCGGAACAGCTTGAGAACAAAACGCGCACTAAACGAATGAAAGATCAGGTCTCTCTTGACTGCAGCCGGGAACTGCTAAGAAGTGCCCCTGGCCCAAAGTGCCCACAGGACATCCACGGAGGCCCCCACGGCCTCCAGAGCACGCCTCACAAGGCCTAGCGGGCCCCAGGGGCTCCAAAATGGACCGGAAACTTGGGGGCACCTAGGGGCACCTTGAGCAACCCCCGATGCAGGGGCGCAAAGATAACCACACTTCGCGCGTCGCGGAGTGGGCCAGAGTTGCGTTCCTTCTCCGGGCGGCGCGAGGGCGCGAAGACAGCCGCGCGCCGTGCATCGCGGGTCATGATTCGCAAAGTTACGCGACCTGGTATCGCTCGGACGGGTGTTTTTTTCTCGGCGGGGGCCATCGAGGAGCCTTTTTTTGAGGTGCTCCTGCGAGCAAAATGCGCGCACGGAGCCGAATTGTGCACAGGGAGAAGGGACGCCCGAGCGACGGCGAGGTGGCCAAAGACCCTCCCTGCAGGACGTGGACGACAGGAACATGCAGCTGATCGAGCAGCTGCGGCGGCAGACGGAGGAGTACAAGCCCGTGTTCACGTGCGCGATCTGCCTCACGGAGCACGAGGTGCGCCTCCTTCTCCAGAGCGGGCCAGCGTACGGTGGAAGTCTGGAGGAGCCGGGGGCGCCCAGCAGGTGCGCGAGGAGGATCGCACCTCGCGCGCCGCGGCCCGGGCTCGCGAACTGCCTTTTCCTTCGAGGGGGCCTTACGGGGGCGCAAAGAGAAGGCCACGCGTCGCGGGGCGCGAGGCGCGAAACCGAGTGGCCTTGGAAGGGCAGCAGATCACGGGGCATCGAGGAGCTTCCCTGTAGTGGGCGTCCTTGGGGGAGGAAGGGGGAGGAGGAGCACGAGAACAAGCGAAGTAGCTGCGGAGCGGGTCGGTATCGGCCTCTTCCTGCGTCGAGCACCGAGCAAGCGCACATCTCCAGACCAGTGGCTCCTGATCACGTTCGCCAGTAAAGCGCATGGATGAAGGCGTGGTCGCGGACACGCAGGAACTCCACCCAGGATTCAACACTTCACCTCGCGGACTATGTACGCTCAGCAAGTTGCCCCGGTCAGGCAGCGGCTTCAGCAGCTTCAAGTTCTTGACGCTTGGCGTATCCCCACCAGCCCATCCAGAAACGATACCCAGGCGAATTGCCTTGATCAGGGAAGTGAAGGAGCTCCGGGGTATGCTGGGGAGGTTCCAGGGCAACGTAGAGCCGTCTTGGGGCGGTTTGGGGGCCTCTCGGAGGCATGCCGGAAGCCCTCTGGAGCCTTCGTGTGTACATTTTGGGGTTCTCTTGGGGGCCTTGAGATCTCTCTTGGAGGACATCGCTCAAACAAGGAGGTGTCGCGGATTAGGATTGCCCCTTTTCTGGCTCGATCCGTCGTTTCTTGGGACCCTCTTGGGACGCTCTTGAGTGATGCGGGGGCTGACTTGGAGCCATCTTCGGAGCAGCTGGGGCTCGCTTGGGACCTTCCTGCGGCGCTCTGGGGGGCCCCCAGGGGCCTTTCTCTCGGGGCCATCCTGGAGGGCATCGGTCAAAGAAGGCAGGGTTCCTCATTCTTGACGCTTCGCGTATCCGTACCAGCTTCGTTTGCCTTCCTGGTGGTCTCGCCCCTGGGGTGGTTGCACTTGAGCCGCCTGGCGCACCTGGCAGCTCTTGCAGCTCTGCCTTCAGCCCCCGGCGCCGCCCGGCGGCCCTCGGCGGCAGCTCCGGCAGCCGTTAGTGCGCGCGCTAGGTAATTAGGTTCGCTCGTCGCCCAGGCTGACCTTGGACGCCGCCTGCGCCTTCGCTTGCGGCCGCGGCCAAAACAGCAACTTTTGCGCAGCGTACTGACTGTCGTGGTTCTCGCGCGTACCTCCTGCCCTCGCCTATCCACTTCTGTTCCTCCTAATTCCTACTTGCTTCTCCTTTTACTTCCTCCTTGTGGGAGGAGTGGGAGGAGGACGGGCCGGAGGAGGAGGAGGAAAAGAAGGTTGAGAGAGGAAGACGACGACGACGACGACGACGACGACGACGACGACGACGACGACGACGACGACGACGACGGCGATGACCACGTCAATGACGACGCACCCAACGACGACGACGACGTCGACGACGACGAAGACCACGAAGACGATGCCGATGGCGACGACGAAGGAGGAGGAGAAGGAAGAGGAGGAGGAAGAGGAGCAGGATGATGAGGAGGAGGAAGAAGAAAGAGGGCGAACACAAGAGCTATAAGCCTTTTGAATGATTCTCGGATTCTCTGGTTTCTCTCGGAAGTGCAAAAGATGATGATGAGGAGGAGGAGGAGAAGGAGAAAGAGGAGGAGGAGGTGGAGGAGGAGCAGGAGGAGGAGGAGGGGGAGAGTGAGGAGGGCGGAGGAGGGATCAGGAGCAGAAGCGGACAGGGAGGCGGAGAAGGAGGAGGAGGAGGAGGAGGAAAAAATGACGTTCTGAAGAGCCTCCTCGGATGTCTCTTTTTGGTTGAGTCCTCTTGGAGCGTCTGGGGGGCATCTTGGGTGCCTCGGAAATCCTCTTGAAGCCTCTTGGGGGCCTCTAGGAGAGAGCGTGCCGTTGCTGGTGGGGCAACGTGGGCGGGTTTGCGGTGGCATGGAGGGGCGGCGCGTTGGTCAGGGCGGGGTGGGGAGCAGCTCCCTGAGCACCCTACAGCCCCGCCCCCAAGCCAGGGGCAGCCACGCGACCGCTCCATGTGGCGGAGTGGCAACTAGGCGTTCGAGGGCCAAGGCATGGAGGGCGGCGGGGACCAGCAAGTGGACCTCGCAGAAGGTGGCTGCGCAGTGTGCCGCAGCTCTTGGGAGCGGGCGGCATGGAGGCGCCGCGCTCGGTTCAGTGAGCGCGACGGCCTTAGCGAGGTGGCGCGCAGACGCACGGTGGAGCTTCACCGGGCGGAGCTCCGCTCCCTAAAGCGTCGCCTCAAGAGGTGGTTGGGTTGTTGGGAGCCGCAGGGGATGACGATCATGGACCAGGCCCACCCGTGCACGCCGGGGTGCACGACGGCGCGGGGGGCGCGGCGAGCCTCTTGGTGCACACCGACCGAATGGGTAGCCTGCAGTGCGTCTCAGAGGCTACGGCCAGTGCGCGCCAAAGCGGCAGCTGTGCGCAGGCGGCTTTGCGAAAGCAGTTACAGGACGCCTGGAGGAGGCGGCAGGTGATGGTTGGCATGCATCAGCAGTGGAGTCGTGTGAAGGGGCCAGCGGGCGCGGTCATCATGTCCCTGCGAAGGGCGGAGTGGACTTGGCCGATTTGGCATACCTTCAGCACGCGCAAGAGCGAGATGGTGGACATTACGGAAGTGTGCCGTTCCGACGCGGCAGCCTTGTTGCGCCCTGGAGTGCAGGCGGTCCTGTTGCAGCGTTGGACTGAGCAGGAGGGGCACCAGGCGCTGGCGCCCGCCCCGTTGCCACAGCCTGCGGCGGCGCAGATGGCGGCGAGGGGTTTCTCGACGCGCGCCAAGAATGCGGCGCGCAAGGTGGCGTTGCGCAGCTCGTGGGAGATGAGCAAGCTATGAGAGTGCAACATCACGCCCGCGGACACCTCCTCGGGCTGCGGGGAAGCAGTGGGCACGCCGCACCACGGGTATTTCCAGTGCCCACGCATTCGAGAGGCGCGGCTCCGCGGGCAACCCGAGCGGCAGCATGTGGCGGGGCAGCAGGTCGGCGATGTGTTGTGGACGCGTGGTTTTGGCGCACGACTCCTCTGCAGATTGACGTTTTCAGGCGGCCAAGGAGGATCAGTACCATTATTGCGCCATCGAGGGCGACGACCCTCTGACGGGCGACATCGTCTGCGATGGGTCGAAGTTCGGCGCCACCTGCTGGGCTCGTGCGGGTTGGGCGGCCATGGCCATCGCCGAGGAAGGCCAGCCGCGCGCGCGACTGCGGGGCCGCTACCGCGTCAGTACCACGTCCAGAAGACGGCGAAGCGAGCCGAGCTCTGGGCCTTCCGGAAGACGCTTCAAGCGGTGCTGCCGCCGCGCAAGATCCACGCGGATCACAGGGGCATCCTGGGCGGCCTGGCGCGTGGGCTGCGGTGGCGTCTCAGCTGGAAGCGTCCGCATGCGGGTCTGTGGTGGCAGATTCGGCAGAAGCTGGTTGACGCTGGCCTGGATACCGACTGCGCGCAGCACGTCAAGGCGCACCGCTACAAGAAGGCCATGGGCCAGCTCGAGGGCCTGGAAAGGCAGGTCGCGCAGGGCAGCGAGGCGGTGGACCTGATGGCTAGGCGGGGCGCCGGAGAGGACTGCGGCTTCGGGAAGCAGGATGCCTTGACGGACTTGGGGGCACGCGTGAGCTGGGCAGCGCAGGCTTTGGGCCGGCGGCACCAGAAGATGAAAGAAGAGCGGCCTGCAGCCCCCCCTCGCCCACCAGGCCAGCGGCGGCGATGCGTCCCCGAGCTCCAGGTCAGGCTAACCTTACACGAGGTTGAGCAAAGGGGGCGCTGGCGGGCGCGCGCGCGCGCACGCTGCGGCAAAAGAGCGGCCGCGGTGCGCGTGCGCAAGAAGCTATGGGAAGCGGCGCGCAGGCCGCCGCCGCGGCGCTTCGCGGGTCGGTCCGGCAGCGCCCGATGAGGAAATCTGCCCGCTGGAGGCGCGAGTGGGCCAGGCGCGGGGCGAGGCGCAGCAGGCCGCCAGGTCTACGGCTGCGAGAAGCACATCGGCGACAGGCGCGATGGTCGCGATGGCCGCGGCCCCAGCAGCCGCGGCAGCGAGCGGCAGCAGCAGCGGCAGCAGCGGCGGCCCGAGCGGGCGGCGAGAGGACAGGAGCCGCTCGCCTAGGGAGGGCGACCGCGGCGCGAGCACCGCGCCCGCGCTGGCTGCGCCCCCCCCCCAGAGGAGCGAGACGAGAGGCGGCTGCGCGTGGCCTGGGTCTGCGGCGCGCGCGCGGTCTGTCGAGTAAGTGGGGCCAGGGCGGCGCCGCGGCGGGATGGGCCCAGCAAGGCGCGCGCGGGGCGCCCCCCGCCCAGCGGCGTCAGCTCGGGGGCCGGACTCGAAGCGCAAGAGGAAAGACCGCTGTCTGCGCGGGGAGCAGGCGCAGACGGGGAAGCCGCCCCCGGCGCTGCCGGAGCCAGGCCAGCGCGGGGGCGCGCGTCGTGGACGAGATCGGCGAGGGGGCGGCCCCACGCGAGGGTGTTCTGCCGGCAGAGCGACGTGGGCTGACCTCTGCGCGACCTGCTCGGCGGGGGGCCCCTGGCGGTATCCATCAGAGTCTCTGAGGGGGCAAAAGAAAAACTTCTTGGAGGCCACTTGGGCGCCTCTCGGGGCCGTCAGCTGGGCGCCTCTTGGGGCCTTGGGGACGCGCTTGGGGCCATATTGGAGGACATCGATCAAAAAGGGGTTTACCAATTAGGGGTGTCCTTCGGGAGCCCCAACAATTGTCTCTTGGGGCGCTCTTGGGCGCTCTAGGGGCCGTCTCGGGGCTCTCTCGGGCCTCTCTTGGGGCCCTCTTGGGCCATCTTGGAACCATTTGGGTTTTTGAATGGTTTGGGTTTCTTGGAGGCCTCCTTGGCGGTATCGGAAGCCCCCTGGAGCCGTCTTGGGAGCGGTTTGGGGGCCTCTTGGAGCATCCTAGGAGCCATCTTGAGGCATCTGAGGCTATCTTGAGCCGTCTTGGAACTCATCGTGGGCTCTCCGAGGCGTTCTTGGAGCCGTTTTTTCAGTGCACGCGAACGGCCACGAGGCGTGTGGGGTAGGGGGGGGCGGGCCGGCACGGGCGCGGTCGCGCATGCGGCTCCTGCCACGGGGGCCTTCGGTGGAGTTCCCCACGGCGGCACGAAAAACATGCGACGGGCGTGCCGAAACGAAGGAGCCGCCATGCGACTCTTGCCGCGTTGGCCTTAGGTGGGCCCCCTGCGTGGGGCCACGAGCCGTGCGAGGGACGTGCCGACACGAGGGGGCGGCCGCCATGCGACTCTTGCCACTGGGGCCCTTAGTGGAGCTCCGCATGTGGCTACGAAACGTGGGAGGGGCGTGACGACAGTAGCACCTGGAGAGCAGCAGTAGGAGCAGGGGGAAGGAGGAGGACGGAGGGGGAATCGGAAGGAGGGGCGCGGGCGATGCGTAGTCAAAACGAGGGCCCAGCATCACAGGATGATGGGGAACAGATGAACGCAATGGGAAGGCGTGGGTTGGAGGGGCATGATGTCAGGTAGTTCGCGTGTGCCCCATGGCTTGTCCTCATGCACTTCGTCTCCCTTGCTAGGCTGAAGTCGGGCCTGTCCCTCTACAGGAGGAACATTCGAAAATAGGCAAAACTAAAGTTTCTTGCTATTTGGGAGACTTTTTCTTTTTATTTGTCCTCGAATACCTGCCTGTAGGGGGACATTCCCGACCTAATCCAGGCTCCCGCCCTCGTCCATGATGGAGGCATGCTGGTTCCCACCAGGACCCCCCCCCCCTAACCGACAGGTCGAGGGCTGCTGCACCCTCCCCTGCCAGCACAGATTCTGCTTCGAGAGCCTCCAGTACCACTTCGACATCATCGTTCGTGAGAGGCGCCTCAGCAAGCTCACGTGCCCAGGCGGGGCCCAGGGGGCCGGGCAAGGCCAGAGCGACGGGCGTTCGTGGTGTTGATGTTCCGCCCATTTAGGCACCTCATCTCCCCGCTGTCGTCATCATTATTGATTATCGGTGCGAATGCCGCACCCTACTGGCTCCCATGGACATTGATAGTACAAATGAATATCCAACGCTTTGGGGCATTCGTCACTATCTGGGTGTAATGCAATCGTACCCGTACGCGTTAGTGATCATGGCGGTCGCGATTGGCGTCATCATCGGCATTGCAATTGCCTTCGTTATTATTGCCATCGTGATGAAATACTTACGCGCATGTTGGCCAGGTGATTACGCAGGCATCCCGAGGATTCTTCGTCCTTCCTCTACATCGTCCTTCTCATCCCCCCTCTTCCACCACACTCGTCGTCGTCCTCATCCTCATGTATGTTCCCCTGCTCCGTATCCGAGTCGATAATTGATCTTACTGTAAAGTGTCTCCCTCTCGTGTGTCCTCCACTCTACATTTGTCCTTGTCCTTGTCATTGTGCTCGTCTGTTTTCTCCTCCTGGTCTTCATCCTGCTCTATCCTCCCGCCATCCCCCTCCCCTCCTCCCTTCTGCTCCTCTTTCGTTCACCACCTCCTAGTCTGATTTGTCCTCACCCTTGGTGCTTCTCACTGTTTCTCCGCCTCGTCCTTCATCCTCCATGGTCCCCCCCCCTCTCCCTCCCTTGGAGTCCCAGTACCGTGGGTAGTCATGCTTGACGTCGTCCCCGTTCGGGCGCCAGAGTTCAGTGAGACGGCGAGATTCCTGATGCCATTTGTCATCATCTCTCCTCATCCTCCTATTCCTCTCCCTTCTCATTCCCTCCTTCTCCTATTCCTCCTCCTCCCCCTCCTCCTCATACTCCTCGCCCCTTCTCATTCCTCCTCTCCGTGTCCTCCCAGTCCGCCCTGATGTCGTCCTCCTCTTCCCTCCTGGGCCTCCCTGGCCTCCTGGACTAGAGGGGTGCAGGACGGAGCTTCTGGCAGCGACAGCGGGCCGCGGGGTTCTCGGCACCGGGGGGCCGGTCTCCACGCCCGCGTGTTGTCCTCGCATCGTCTTCGTCCCCTTGGCATCGCTCGGACGTGTGTATTTTTTTCTCGGCGAGGACCTTGGAGGAGCATCCTGGACCATCGAGCAAAAAAAAGCACGCACGAAACCGAAAAATGCACGGGAAATGGACGTCCGAGCGACGGCAAGTCCCCGTCGGGGGAGACGCCAGCCAGAGACAAAGGCTCTCCAGGAGCCGCCTCGTCTTCGAGGACCGCAGGCGCGGAGGCTTTTTTTGTTCCCCGGCGGCAGGCGGCAGAAGGCGGCAAGCACATCGTCTTCGGCACCGCCTGGTTCCGGGGCTTTGCCCTCTCTTGGCCTTGACGTGAGGCCCGTCTTTCTCCCCTCTGTTAATTAAAGCTGTGCGCGGCCCGCTTAGCTTCGACCGGAAGAGGTGCGCTCTCGACCCGCGGATCAAAAAAAAGGCGGCAGAAGGGCGGTGGAAGCCAGCGGAAGGAAAGCAGGGCGGTTCTGCGGCCAGCGGATACCGGCAAAAGTATCACAGTGGAGACCCATGCCAAGAAACCTTTTTTGCTTGCCGTCAGGGTGCCCTGGGTTTCTTGGGCTTCGATGGTTTTGTCATGGAGAGCGTGACGTTCCGACACCAAAAGATCAATGGACGTCCTGGGGTCTCAGGGTTGGGTTTCTTGTGGGAGGTTTCTTGTAGACTGACCTCCACTGTAAACGGCCCTCCGAGAGACGCATCTTTGTTTTGACCCAGGGCTCCTGAGACGAGACAATGGGCGCCGATCGTGTGCATGCCCGCCATTGCACACGGTGGGGCCCGGCCAGGATCGGCGCAGGTGCTCCCTCTCAGGATGCAGCTCTTGGGGGGTTGAGTTCAGCATCGGTGCTGGCATATCTGTGGTCGTAAGCCCGCCTACTCTGGCGCAGTCCAGCTTAATCCCGCGGAAGCCGGCCTAATCTGGCTGGGTCTTGGGCTTCTTCAGAATGATCCGGCTTAATGGCCTCCTATCGCATCTTCTTTCTCCCTCCCCGTCACCCCCCCCCCGCCTCTCCACCACCACAGCGCGGGCAGTGGGAAGCGCGAAGAGGAGGAGCTCGGGCACGAGCGACGGCGCCACCCACGGCACGATATCGGGAGTGCGGTGAGGGGGGACAGCGGCATGGCACATGCGGCCCCCGCCCAGGGCTCTTGCGCCCGCTGTGCGAGCATGGGCGGCAGCCAGTGGGCCGGAGGAGGAGAGGGGGAGGAGGAGGAGGAGGAGGAGGAGGAGGAGGAGGAAGAGGAAGAGGAGGAGGAGGTCTATTTCGTCTGATCGATCCGATTCGACATCGGTGCTGGCCAGCCCGATCCGACTCGATGCCGATGTCCCGACGAGTTGCTGCGGCCCGAGACTCGCACGGATGCCGCCGTTGTGCACTTCCGTGTGGGCGATCCGACTCGCTTTTCAACTTCGCGCCGCTGCGGCCCGATCCGACGCACATTTCGACTCGGCCGCCCGAGTCGATGCAGGGCTGGTCTCGGGGCGGGGCCGTCCAGTTGATGGCTGCGGCTGCAACCTGCGCTCGCAAGAGTCCATCCACATCTTCCAGCAGTGCCTCTCGGAGCAGACGTACCACAAGCTGCTGGAGCCCCCACCCGCCCGACGGCGCGCCCTCCTCGCGGCCTTTGAGCGCCCTGGTGGCGCTGCCTACATGCAGGAGGAGAAAAAACGCAGACACAATTAATCGTCGAGTCCCAGGAAAATATGTGAAAATATGGGAAGTGGGGGGGAGGACAAAACCGAGAAAATATGGGAAAGATGGGGAATCTTGTTATTTGTGCGTATTTACTTGTGTGTCCTGGGGCCCCTTCATACGGGCGACCTGGGCGCGCTGAGGTCTGACTCGGAGGGGGGCGAGCGGGCCTTCGGGAGGGGGTCCCGCTGCCACGGCGGGGGACGCCGTTCGGAGCACTGGCGCGCGGGGGCCCCGGGATTGGTCCGGGGACCGATTCTTGAGTTGCCGCTGTCTCAGCCCGCACTGCCGGCCTCGCCCTGCGCTCTTTCCCTCCTCCCCCTCTCTGTTAATTCAAGCTTCGCGCGGCCCGCTTAGCTTCGACCGGAAGAGGTGCGCTCTCGACCCGCGAATCAAAAAAGTCTCAGCCCGCACTGCTCCGAGTTGCATGGCATGGGCCTCACCATCCATCGAGCGGGCACATCGCCCGCCCGGGCATCGCCCGCGCCCGCTCGTGTGCGCTTCTTGCTCTTGCGCCGTGGCGCGCGTGTGTGCTCCAGTGGCCTTGGCCCAGGCAATGGTATCCGTACCCCCCGCAGACGTGGATAGAAGTGAGTTCCTCTCCATTTCTTTCATTTATATAAACAAACGGAGAGAGATATGTCTCTCTCTCTCTTTCTTGTTTATCTCTATGTGTGTATCTCTCTCTCTCTTTCTGATATCTGTCTCTCTTTTCCTGTCTCTCTTTCAACCGCCACGCCGATCACCTGGCCACGGAAGCCGTCGGCCTCCACAATCTACCCAGCGACGTGATAGACGCCGCCAAGTAACGCCACCGCTTTGCCATTACATTCCACACGACGGTTGTTGCCATCTACGACAGACGACAACGCACCCTCCCACTCCCACACCGTAGGGCCGGCTACACTGCGGCCGATCTCGGCCGCATGGACCATAATCCACTCAGTGGTGGCGGAGGTGGCGCCGCACCAGCGAGCCCTCACCTCGTGGGCGAGCCAACTCATCTGGACGCCCTCTGGGAGGAAGCTCACGCCAAGCCTTTCCCCGACGAGGGCGATGACGACCCCCTCGGTCTCGGTGGCTCTCTCTCGATGACTACGACGACCCGTCTCCCCCAGCCTGGCGCCAACAGGAGACCAGCGGCGATATCCGAGCCGCCAGCCCCGCGGTAGCCGGGCCAAACTGGGCGACGTTTACGCATGTCGCCGACGCAGGCACCGCCAGCGACGGCGTAACGTCCTGGGAGGCCCCCATGGAGACGAGGGCCACCATTGCGCCGAGTGGCTCGCGCAGGACGTCGACCCACCAGCTCCCCGAGCTATAACCGCCTTGGCCCTTCCGACAGCCAGCGTGGCACTACGCACTGGACACCAGACCGCTGACGTGAACCGTGGCCTGCTAGGCGTCCGCCCCCACCCAGTCCGACTGGCCCCGTCTCCCCCGCCAGCCAGCAACACACCATGCACGGCGCCGACACCAGTCGGGCACCGCCCGCCGTGCCCCAGGCTTCCCCCTCAACCGACGACCCCGCATCGTCACGCCCTGCCACGCGGGCACCTCTCAGGAGCGACAGCAGCCGGGCGCTTACCGCTCACCGCCACGCCCCTGCCGCAAGCCCCGACCGCGCCACGGACCTGCAGAGGCCACGTGCGACGGCACGGGCCACTGCTCTGGCCGCCTCCACAGCGGCCTTGCAAGTCCAGCATAACTCCCTGACTACCGTGCTCCACGGCGCCCTCGGGCGCCGTGGTGCCTCTCACACAGCGTTTTCGAAGCGCCTAGGTGGCGTGGGCAGCCCTTCGTCGGTCGTCCTTTCCGCCACCACCGACGGTCGACGTGGCGACCGCGAGGGAGGCCCTGCTCATTCTTGCTCCACTGCCTCCCGCTGGACCATAGGCTGGCCCATCTCACCCATGGTTCTCGCTCCGTGCCCCGCGTGACGCCCGGCAGGCGTTCTGCGGATCGTGATTGCCCTGCGTGCGGCATCGCACGTTGCCGACGCCCCGACGCCAACGTCGGCTACCTAAGCGGTGGCCTTTTCGCGGTGCGCAGACGAGTGGCGTTAGTGGGCGTGTCCCCATACAGCAGGAATATTCCAAAATAGTAAAAAGATTGTCGAAGGACGGTTTAGTCGAGCATGTTTGATCATTGTTGAGCATGTTTTGATTATTGTGTTCCGTCCAAAATCCGCCTGTAGGAGGACACGCCCGACCTAAGCGTGGCGCTCCGCCTCCGTCAACACTCCGCTCTTACTGATCAGTCGCCTCGGCGCGGGGGGGGGCCTTCGTTTTCGGGGGCCCCCTTGAGCACGGGCGGGCAGCCGCTTGCCGCTGCTGCCCCGGACATCGTCCGCATCGCTGGGTTTCTCTCTCTCTCTCTCTCTCGCTGTCTCTGTCGGGTTGTGAGGGTGAGCGATGCAGTCAAGACGCAAAAGCAAGGCGCACTTCTTCATGCTCGGAAGGGGCTCGCTGTTCCTTGGGTCGGTTACTCACTGTCATTGCAGCGCTTCTCTGGTACCCATGCGCCTTGGAGGGCGAACAGGGGTTGCGTTCCTTATGTAGCGAGACGCATGGCAATAGCTTGACTGCAGATCCTCGCCTTAACGGTAGTGGCTTGACTTGTCCGCAGGTTTCTTTTTATGTCTCGTTCCTCCCTCCTCCTTCCCACTGCTGCCTCCCACCCTCTTGAAGACATCTTGCAGGCTTGTCGGGAGCCTCTTTGGGGCCTCTTGGGGGCCTCGTGGGGCATGTTCGTGGCCCGTTGGGAGCCCGTCGGGGGTCTGGGGGCAGCTGTTGGGCGCGATAGTTCCGCCGAGCTCTCCCGAGCAGGTTCGGTCGAAAGATCTGTGGGACGGATAGCAGGATATTGGAGACGCTGGGCCTCGCTGAAGAGCAGAGACCGAGAGGAGGAGGGAGGAGGAGGAGGAGGAGGAAGAGAGGAGGAGGAGGAGGAGGAGGAGGAGGAGGAGGAGGACCAGGAGCAGGAGGACGAGGAGGACCAGTGTAAAAGAGTCACCAACGATATTGGAATAAACCCTCCCCCCAAGCTCCCTCTTCGTAGGCCCCTATAACGGTTTATTTCCATTGAGGGAGCGGAATTTCAATAATTCATGATGGTGTGTCGTTATGTTCGGCCTAGCCGAAGATCTTTGAGAGCGATTTGTGTGGGCTATGGGTACTTCGTGGAGGCGCTCTGGAGAAATGTTAACGCGCCTTTTGTGATCCGTTGGGCCTTCCTGGGCTGGTCTGGGGCCCCGTGTGGCCGTGTCGAGTCGAAGCGGTCTTGGGCCGTGTTGGAGCCGTCTCGAAACCGAGAAGGGTAACGGAGAGCAAACTAGTTGGGACAAGTTGTGTGAATGCGTGCGGCGAGGAAGGAGGTCGCTCATGGAACACTACCAGAATTCACCGAGGAAACGAACAGGAATGAAAACACGCCAGAGCGTACTGCGGCCATGGCGGCGAATTTGTTGGTTGGTATCACATGGTTGTCCGCAGGGCATCGCAATACGGGTGAGTACCTGTGGTGCAGTCGACCCGCAGAGTAAGGGTAGGCATCCCTCCCAAGGGTACCCTTGCATCCTTGCTTCCTGGGTCCATCCTTGGACACTTTTGTTGGCCACGCCCCGCTCGAAACGCTTCGAGATGGGCGTCCAAGGGCCTTGCATCCTTATCGCGCATCCTTACTCTGCGGGTTGACTGTATGCGCGGTCTGTCACATGCTTCGGAGCTCGCGTGTATTTTGCATTGGCCTGGGGGCAAATCGAGGTACCGTTTCGGTTCTAGCTGCTCTCGCCTCACGCCCTGGAGCTTCACACAATTGCCTCGCTTTGCAGCCATGTCCGCTGCCGAGATCATCATCAATCGTCAGGACATCGTCAAGGAGGGTTACCTTGTCAAGCAGTCGAAGCACTTTAAGGAGTGGCGCAACAGGTGGTTCGTCCTCACACCGCAGTACCTCTGCAGCTTCAAGCAACAGGGCGAATTGCGAAACCCAACGGAGGCCATCCGGCTGCGCGAGTGCAGCACAGTGAAGTCTGCTGAAGCCGAAACCGGTAGGGAAAATTCTTTCCGCGTGGACACTCCTGGGCGCGTCTTTTATTTGATCGCTCAGAACTCCAGCGAGAAGGAGGCGTGGATTGGGCACGTGGGGCGCTCGATGGTTAGTCGGGCGGTCCTCATCGACGAGGAGGAGCAGTACGACTGAGACTCCAGAGACACAGGGCTGAAGAGCCCCTTGGGGGTCCCAGGCCGTAGAGGGTTGCTTTTCCCGCTGGCAGACCAGCGAGGGCTGGGCGTCGGCGACTTCTTTGCGGCCACGAGATGTGGCACTATTTTCTCTTCGCGGAGCGACAGAGGGCATGCACCAAGACGCCTCAGGTGTGCTACGGCTCGCATGCGCCCAAACATATCCTCTCTCTAAGGCGGAGCGATGAGAAGGCCAGAGATGAATTTTCACCCCACCGCGGCACGCTCAGCACGCCACTCCCGAGGTTTCTCCGCCGCCGACGGCGGCAGCTGGGTCTCGCACGAGGGCCCCGGGTCACCAGGGCACCCGCAAACTCGGAGCGTCGAAGGCCAGCATTCCCAAAAAACACCTTTTGGGGGGCGGGTCGGAAAGTTTGGACCCATATATATATATATATATGATTATATATATATATATACAAGACTGCAGTGGCGCTTCGCGCCATGCACCTTGGTCCTTGAAGATTGCTATGCAGGCGGAAAAGGCAGGAAGGTCAAGCGGACACTTTAACGATAACCCCTTGCTGCCTTTTCTGGCATCGCCGTTATAATAATGTTGTTCGTTATCCTTCATCCATGCTTATTTTTCCTCATTCTCGCCATACCCTGGGCATTCTCCCCATCCTCCTCAGCTCTTTTTGCGGAGGC